CAGCTCGGATAAATTACTGCAAGCAGTGGAACAATTCTATTATAATACAAAAAGATCATGAACGAAGATGCTGTAAAGTAAGATTTTTTTTATCATATACATGCAATATGCAAAATGGCACTTTTGAGTGCACCTGTAGGGATTTTCAGGTCTTTGTTTATAAGTATAGAATTGAAAAATAATAATAATGGCCATGAAATATACAAAATAACTTAAATATACAAATAATGAACATGCATGCCATATACAAAATAAGCGTATACATAAATAATTAAGTCAGGCTCTCACGAGTGCAAATGTACAAATATTCATGTTTTAATGATAACACCTAGTTAAGGACTTAAATATACAAATAATGAACATGCATGCCATATACAAAATAAGCGTATAATAAATAAAATTAAGTACCTAGTATATAAGTTAAGGACTTAAATATACAAATAATGCACATGCATGCCATACACAAAATAAGCATATACATAAATAATTAAGTCAGGCACTCACGAGTGCAAATGTACAAATATTCATGTTTTAATGATAACACCTAGTTAAGGACTTAAATATACAAATAATGAACATGCATGCCATATACAAAATAAGCGTATACATAAAATAATTAAGTCAGGCACTCACGAGTGCAAATGTACAAATATTCATGTTTTAATGATAACACTAGTTAAGGACTTAAATATACAAATGATGAACATGCCATATACAAAATATGCGTATAATACATGAATAATTAGGTACCTAGTATATAAGTTAAGGACTTAAATATACAAATAATGAACATGAGATATACAAATAAGCGTATACATAAATAATTAAGTACCTAGTATATAAGTTAAGGACTTAAATATACAAATAATGAACATGCCATATACAAATATGCGTATACATAAATAATTAAGTACCTAGTATATAAGTTAACGACTTAAATATACAAATAATGAACATGCCATATACAAAATAAGCGTATACATAAATAATTAAGTACCTAGTATATAAGTTGAGGACTTAAATATACAAATAATGAACATGCCATATACAAAATAGGCGTATACATAAATAATTAAGTACCTAGTATATAAGTTAAGGACTTAAATATAGAAATTGAAAAAATAATAATAATGGCCATGAAATTTACATAATGCATACAAAATAGGCGTTTACAAAAAAAACGCCAGGCACACGTTTTAGTGCCCCTGTAGGGATTTCAGGTTTTAGTTTATAAGTATAGAATTGAAAAAAATAATAATGGCCATGAAATATACAAAATGCATACAAAATAGGCGTTTACAAAAAAAAAACGCCAGGCACACTTTTTAGTGCCCCTGTAGGGATTTTCAGGTCTTAGTTTATAAGTATAGAATTGAAAAATAATAATAATGGTCATGAAATATACAAAATGCACACAAAATAGGCGTTTACAAAAAAACGCCAGGCACACTTTTTAGTGCCCCTGTAGGGATTTTCAGGTCTTAGTTTATAAGTATAGAATTGAAAAATAATAATAATGGCCATGAAATATACAAAATGCATACAAAATAGCGCCAGGCACACTTTTTAGTGCCCCTGTAGGGATTTTCAGGTCTTAGTTTATAAGTATAGAATTGAAAAATAATAATAATGGCCATGAAATATACAAAATGCATACAAAATAGGCGTTTACAAAAAAAAACGCCAGGCACACTTTTTAGTGCCCCTGTAGGGATTTTCAGGTCTTAGTTTATAAGTATATAATTGAAAAATAATAATAATGGCCATGAAATATACAAAATGACTTAAATATACAATTAATGAACATGCCATATACAAAATATATTTATAAATGCACACGCACACATATATATAAATATTAATATATATATATATGTATATATATATATATATATATATAAATTTTCAATCAACTCTAACCTTGAATATCATTCTCAGGTGATGATATCGTCTTATTGCTACAAGCCTGAATGCTCCAGCTCGGATAAATTACTACAAGCAGTCGAACAATTCTACTTATAATACAAAAGATACATGAACGAAGATGCTGTAAAGGTAAGATTTTTTTTATCATATACATGCAATATGCAAAATGGCACTTTTGAGTGCACCTGTAGGGATTTTCAGGTCTTAGTTTATAAGTGTAGAATTGAAAAATAATAATAATGGCCATGAAATATACTTGCCTTTGCCAAAAACTAATCAGCACATCTTCCTATCAATAGAAATCGAATGGTAAATGCATCATTCAATCGGTTGATCCGTAAAACGTGGAAAATTGTAAACATACATATATACACACTCACACACACACACATCCATTTTGTCTGAGGTATGCCCCTTAAAAATGTTCAGAAACCTTCAAAACGTCGAGAAATGTAAAAATTTTCAATCTCGATTTTCGGCCCATTACAATAACTTACCCTACGGGAAGTTAATAACTTATTAATAATAATTACTTAATGACTAATAATAATATATTAAAAACTTAAAAACTAAGAAGTGAAAAGCGCAGGAATATTGACGATGGAATGACAAATTTAGAAGGAATGACAAGTAATGCAAAAATTTAAAAGGATAAAAAGAACAGCAAATTTTTAAAAAAGAACGAATACTTCCCAAACACAATATATATATATATATATATATATATTCACCTTAAAATTTACCTAAAAACATTTGACATTTGACGTATTAGCCCCACCGTCCATTGTTTTATTCAAATTACGCTTCTACACAAATTTTCAAATTAAAAATGTAAAGTTTCTACGCGATTTTGAAATAATATCTCACCTTTCCGACAACCTACTCCGATTAGCACGAATTTTTCAAGACTAAGACTGGCCAAATCGGTTCAGCCGTTTTCGAGTTTTAGCGAATCATTTGATCGAGAGCTCCATTTTTATATATAAGATTAGCATAATAATTGACTGCTTTTGATGAATTAAATCAGTTTTTGTATAATTTTTTTCTGTAATTTTTCTGTATCTTTTCGTTTTTGCAAATTCAAAGCAAAATTTAATTTTTATTTTTTATTTAATAAATTTAATTAATTTAATTGCAACTAAAGAATGTAGTTTAAATAATTAACTTAAAAATTCAAAATAATAAAACAACTGCATTCAATAAAGTAAATAATATCTATTTTGTTATACATAATCTAATCATTAAAATTATTTTAGGTCAAAACTTACTTGCTCCAGTTTATATAAAAAAGCAGGCCAAACATTGGTGATATCGAGGAGAGCCTGGCGAGAAGGTTTGCTGATCTCTACTCCAAAGAGTTTCACACAAAGGTAGGGAATTCAAATTTTTAGCTATATTTGAACAATGCTATAGGGATTTTCACGTCTTAGTATATACGTATAGAATTGAAATAATATAATAATGGCTATGAAATATATAAAATGCATACAAAATAAGCGTATACAAAAAAAAAAACGCCAGGCACACTTTTTAGTGCCCCTGTAGGGATTTTCAGGTATTAGTTTGTAAGTATAGAATTGAAAAATAATAATAATGGCCATGCAATATACGAGTTGGCACTCTCGAGTGTTATCTTTTTGTTCTCAAAACCTTTCCTTTCCCTACAAACCCCTACCTATTCAATAGTTTATATTTTTGTAATTCATTCCAATTTTAAAGATAAAGATTTAGTATTTATAGTAAATATAAAATAGTATTTATAAAGTTCTATATATTTTCTTAGTTATATATATATATATATATATTTTTTTTTTGTTATTTTAATTCAGAACCTAAATTTGATATCGATCAAACGGACATTATTTTGTTTCATTAAATTTTCATTCAATTTCAAGATTTAATTTTGCTCTTCAAGCAGAATTGTCAGGTCTTTAGTTTCCTTGTAATCCCAACAAATTCCTCAACCTAGGTTTGTGCGAATGGGACATCCAGACCCTGGCGTGGAGTTGTGCTTCCGTAATCTTGATGTCTCGTTTTTATCTTGAGTTTATATAGTATTTCATGATTTAATTATGCAGGGTTGTCAGCGCTTTAGTTCTTCCTTGTAATCCCAACAAATTCCACAACCTAGGTCTGTGGGAATTTAGCGTTTCATGATCGAGTCCTTGATTATATCGGGATCCTGAAGCGAACTAGAACGTTTCTTTTGACAAGTTTAGTTCCGCCAGTATGGACGTTAGTTCGGCAGCCTACGTTCGTGCGAATAGGCGCTCTTACATCGAGACAAAAGTAATGGCAATCCGGTAATTAAATCGGTACCCTGGGGCGGACTAAAAACATTATTGTTAAGTTTACAGTTCCATCAGTGGACCTAAATTCGCCTTCCTACGTTTGTGCGAAGAGGGCTTTTACATCGAGACAAAAGTACTGGCAATTCTTTTTTAATCATTGTAATTTTTATTTTTTAGTCTTTTATTGTCATAAGACGTTCATTTATTTTCCATTCACTGTTATTCATGTCAAGTTTTTTTTTTTTTATAAAACTTCCAATATTTAATTTTTTTTTTTTTTTTATTTTAAATTTTTATTTTCAATAGCAATCAGAATACATGACTATTCCAATCTCAATATATCCTCACTTTTCAATTTCAAGTTTTTTTTTTTATAAAACTTCCAATCCCAACACATCCTCACTTTTCAATTTCAAGTTTTTTTTTATAAAACTTTCAATCCCAGCACATCCTCACTTTTCAATATTTTTCAGCAATAATAATTTGTATATAACTATATAAGTGCTATTAACAAGATGCATGAAAAATAAACAAATAATTAAGTAAGGCATCCCCGTGTGCAAATGTACGGTTATTCAGGTCTTAGAGATAACACCCCAGCATATAGGTTAAGGACTTAAATATACGAATAATGAACATGCCATATACAAAATAAGCGTATACATAAATAATTAAGTCGGGCACTCACGTGTGCAAATGTACGGTTATTCAGGTCTTAGAGATAACACCCCAGTATATAAGTTAAGGACTTAAATATACGAATAATGAACATGCCATATACAAAATAAGCGTATACATAAATAATTAAGTCGGGCACTCACGTGTGCAAATGTACGGTTATTCAGGTCTTAGAGATAACACCCCAGTATATAGGTTAAGGACTTAAATATACGAATAATGAACATGCCATATACAAAATAAGCGTATACATAAATAATTAAGTCGGGCACTCACGTGTGCAAATGTACGGTTATTCAGGTCTTAGAGATAACACCCCAGTATATAAGTTAAGGACTTAAATATACGAATAATTTACATGCCATATACAAAATAAGCGTATACATAAATAATTAAGTCGGGCACTCACGTTTGCAAATGTACGGTTATTCAGGTCTTAGAGATAACACCCCAGTATATAGGTTAAGGACTTAAATATACGAATAATGAACATGCCATATACAAAATAAGCGTATACATAAATAATTAAGTCGGGCACTCACGTGTGCAAATGTACGGTTATTCAGGTCTTAGAGATAACACCCCAGTATATAAGTTAAGGACTTAAATATACGAATAATTTACATGCCATATACAAAATAAGCGTATACATAAATAATTAAGTCGGGCACTCACGTTTGCAAATGTACGGTTATTCAGGTCTTAGAGATAACACCCCAGTATATAAGTTAAGCACTTAAATATACGAATAATTTACATGCCATATATAAAATCAGCGTATACATAAATAATTAAGTACCTAGTATATAAGTTAAGGACTTAAATATACAAATAATGAACATGCATGCCATATACAAAATAAGCGTATACATAAATAATTAAGTACAAACATACAAAATAAGCGTATACATAAATAATTAAGTCGGGCACTCACGTGTGCAAATTTACGGTTATTCAGGTCTTAGAAATAACACCCCAGTATATAAGTTAAGGACTTAAATATACGAATAATGAACATGCCATATACAAAATATATTTATAAATGCACACGCACACATATATATAAATATTAATATATATTATATATATATATATATATATATATATATATATATATATATATAAATTTTCAATCAACTCTAACCTTGAATATCATTCTCAGGTGATGATAACGTCTTATTGCTACAAGCCTGAATGCTCCAGCTCGGATAAATTACTGCAAGCAGTTGAACAATTCTACTTATAATACAAAAGATACATGAACGAAGATGCTGTAAAGGTAAGATTTTTTTTATCATATACATGCAATATGCAAAATGGCACTTTTGAGTGCACCTGTAGGGATTTTCAGGTCTTTGTTTATAAGTATAGAATTGAAAAATAATAATAATGGCCATGAAATATACAAAATAACTTAAATATACAAATAATGAACATGCATGCCATATACAAAATAAGCGTATACATAAATAATTAAGTCAGGCTCTCACGAGTGCAAATGTACAAATATTCATGTTTTAATGATAACACCTAGTTAAGGACTTAAATATACAAATAATGAACATGCATGCCATATACAAAATAAGCGTATACATAAATAATTAAGTCAGGCTCTCACGAGTGCAAATGTACAAATATTCATGTTTTAATGATAACACCTAGTTAAGGACTTAAATATACAAATAATGAACATGCATGCCATATACAAAATAAGCGTATACATAAATAATTAAGTCAGGCACTCACGAGTGCAAATGTACAAATATTCATGTTTTAAGAATAACACTTAGTTAAGGACTTAAATATACAAATAATGAACATGCATGCCATATACAAAATAAGCGTATACATAAATAATTAAGTCAGGCACTCACGAGTGCAAATGTACAAATATTCATGTTTTAATGATAACACCTAGTTAAGGACTTAAATATACAAATAATGAACATGCCATATACAAAATAAGCGTATACATAAATAATTAAGTACCTAGTATATAAGTTAAGGACTTAAATATACAAATAATGAACATGCCATATACAAAATATGCGTATACATAAATAATTAAGTACCTAGTATATAAGTTAACGACTTAAATATACAAATAATGAACATGCCATATACAAAATAAGCGTATACATAAATAATTAAATCGGGCACTCACGTGTGCAAATGTACGGTTATTCAGGTCTTAGAGATAACACCCCAGTATATAAGTTAAGGACTTAAATATACGAATAATGAACATGCCATATACAAAATAAGCGTATACATAAATAATTAAATCGGGCACTCACGTGTGCAAATGTACGGTTATTCAGGTCTTAGAGATAACACCCCAGTATATAAGTTAAGGACTTAAATATACGAATAATTTACATGCCATATATAAAATCAGCGTATACATAAATAATTAAGTACCTAGTATATAAGTTAAGGACTTAAATATACAAATAATGAACATGCCATATACAAAATATGCGTATACATAAATAATTAAGTACCTAGTATATAAGTTAACGACTTAAATATACAAATAATGAACATGCCATATACAAAATAAGCGTATACATAAATAATTAAGTACCTAGTATATAAGTTGAGGACTTAAATATACAAATAATGAACATGCCATATACAAAATAGGCGTATACATAAATAATTAAGTACCTAGTATATAAGTTAAGGACTTAAATATAGAAATTGAAAAATAATAATAATGGCCATGAAATTTACATAATGCATACAAAATAGGCGTTTACAAAAAAAACGCCAGGCACACGTTTTAGTGCCCCTGTAGGGATTTTCAGGTTTTAGTTTATAAGTATAGAATTGAAAAATAATAATAATGGCCATGAAATATACAAAATGCATACAAAATAGGCGTTTACAAAAAAAAACGCCAGGCACACTTTTTAGTGCCCCTGTAGGGATTTTCAGGTCTTAGTTTATAAGTATAGAATTGAAAAATAATAATAATGGCCATGAAATATACAAAATGCACACAAAATAGGCGTTTACAAAAAAACGCCAGGCACAATTTTTAGTGCCCCTGTAGGGATTTTCAGGTCTTAGTTTATAAGTATAGAATTGAAAAATAATAATAATGGCCATGAAATATACAAAATGCATACAAAATAGCGCCAGGCACACTTTTTAGTGCCCCTGTAGGGTTTTTCAGGTCTTAGTTTATAAGTATAGAATTGAAAAATAATAATAATGGCCATGAAATATACAAAATGCATACAAAATAGGCGTTTACAAAAAAAAAACGCCAGGCACACTTTTTAGTGCCCCTGTAGGGATTTTCAGGTCTTAGTTTATAAGTATAGAATTGAAAAATAATAATAATGGCCATGAAATATACAAAATGACTTAAATATACAATTAATGAACATGCCATATACAAAATATATTTATAAATGCACACGCACACATATATATAAATATTAATATATATATATATGTATATATATATATAAATTTTCAATCAACTCTAACCTTGAATATCATTCTCAGGTGATGATATCGTCTTATTGCTACAAGCCTGAATGCTCCAGCTCGGATAAATTACTACAAGCAGTCGAACAATTCTACTTATAATACAAAAGATACATGAACGGAGATGCTGTAAAGGTAAGATTTTTTTCATCATATACATGCAATATGCAAAATGGCACTTTTGAGTGCACCTGTAGGGATTTTCAGGTCTTAGTTTATAAGTATAGAATTGAAAAATAATAATAATGGCCATGAAATATACAAAATAACTTAAATATACAAATAATGAACATGCATGCCATATACAAAATAAGCGTATACATAAATAATTAAGTCAGGCACTCACGAGTGCAAATGTACAAATATTCATGTTTTAATGATAACACCTAGTTAAGGACTTAAATATACAAATAATGAACATGCATGCCTTGTACAAAATAAGCGTATACATAAATAATTAAGTCAGGCACTCACGAGTGCAAATGTACAAATATTCATGTTTTAATGATAACACCTAGTTAAGGACTTAAATATACAAATAATGAACATGCATGCCATATACAAAATAAGCGTATACATAAATAATTAAGTCAGGCTCTCACGAGTGCAAATGTACAAATATTCATGTTTTAATGATAACACCTAGTTAAGGACTTAAATATACAAATAATGAACATGCATGCCATATACAAAATAAGCGTATACATAAATAATTAAGTACCTAGTATATAAGTTAAGGACTTAAATATACAAATAATGCACATGCATGCCATACACAAAATAAGCATATACATAAATAATTAAGTCAGGCACTCACGAGTGCAAATGTACAAATATTCATGTTTTAATGATAACACCTAGTTAAGGACTTAAATATACAAATAATGAACATGCATGCCATATACAAAATAAGCGTATACATAAATAATTAAGTCAGGCACTCACGAGTGCAAATGTACAAATATTCATGTTTTAATGATAACACCTAGTTAAGGACTTAAATATACAAATAATGAACATGCCATATACAAAATATGCGTATAATACATGAATAATTAGGTACCTAGTATATAAGTTAAGGACTTAAATATACAAATAATGAACATGAGATATACAAAATAAGCGTATACATAAATAATTAAGTACCTAGTATATAAGTTAAGGACTTAAATATGCAAATAATGAACATGCCATATACAAAATATGCGTATACATAAATAATTAAGTACCTAGTATATAAGTTAACGACTTAAATATACAAATAATGAACATGCCATATACAAAATAAGCGTATACATAAATAATTAAGTACCTAGTATATAAGTTGAGGACTTAAATATACAAATAATGAACATGCCATATACAAAATAGGCGTATACATAAATAATTAAGTACCTAGTATATAAGTTAAGGACTTAAATATAGAAATTGAAAAATAATAATAATGGCCATGAAATTTACATAATGCATACAAAATAGGCGTTTACAAAAAAAACGCCAGGCACACGTTTTAGTGCCCCTGTAGGGATTTCAGGTTTTAGTTTATAAGTATAGAATTGAAAAATAATAATAATGGCCATGAAATATACAAAATGCATACAAAATAGGCGTTTACAAAAAAAAACGCCAGGCACACTTTTTAGTGCTCCTGTAGGGATTTTCAGGTCTTAGTTTATAAGTATAGAATTGAAAAATAATAATAATGGCCATGAAATATACAAAATGCACACAAAATAGGCGTTTACAAAAAAACGCCAGGCACACTTTTTAGTGCCCCTGTAGGGATTTTCAGGTCTTAGTTTATAAGTATAGAATTGAAAAATAATAATAATGGCCATGAAATATACAAAATGCATACAAAATAGCGCCAGGCACACTTTTTAGTGCCCCTGTAGGGATTTTCAGGTCTTAGTTTATAAGTATAGAATTGAAAAATAATAATGGCCATGAAATATACAAAATGCATACAAAATAGGCGTTTACAAAAAAAAAAACGCCAGGCACACTTTTTAGTGCCCCTGTAGGGATTTTCAGGTCTTAGTTTATAAGTATAGAATTGAAAAATAATAATAATGGCCATGAAATATACAAAATGACTTAAATATACAATTAATGAACATGCCATATACAAAATATATTTATAAATGCACACGCACACATATATATAAATATTAATATATATATATATATATATATATATATATATATATATATAAATTTTCAATCAACTCTAACCTTGAATATCATTCTCAGGTGATGATATCGTCTTATTGCTACAAGCCTGAATGCTCCAGCTCGGATAAATTACTACAAGCAGTCGAACAATTCTACTTATAATACAAAAGATACATGAACGAAGATGCTGTAAAGGTAAGATTTTTTTTATCATATACATGCAATATGCAAAATGGCACTTTTGAGTGCACCTGTAGGGATTTTCAGGTCTTAGTTTATAAGTATAGAATTGAAAAATAATAATAATGGCCATGAAATATACAAAATAACTTAAATATACAAATAATGAACATGCATGCCATATACAAAATAAGCGTATACATAAATAATTAAGTCAGGCACTCACGAGTGCAAATGTACAAATATTCATGTTTTAATGATAACACCTAGTTAAGGACTTAAATATACAAATAATGAACATGCATGCCATATACAAAATAAGCGTATACATAAATAATTAAGTCAGGCTCTCACGAGTGCAAATGTACAAATATTCATGTTTTAATGATAACACCTAGTTAAGGACTTAAATATACAAATAATGAACATGCATGCCATATACAAAATAAGCGTATACATAAATAATTAAGTCAGGCTCTCACGAGTGCAAATGTACAAATATTCATGTTTTAATGATAACACCTAGTTAAGGACTTAAATATACAAATAATGAACATGCATGCCATATACAAAATAAGCGTATACATAAATAATTAAGTACCTAGTATATAAGTTAAGGACTTAAATATACAAATAATGAACATGAGATATACAAAATAAGCGTATACATAAATAATTAAGTACCTAGTATATAAGTTAAGGACTTAAATATACAAATAATGAACATGCCATATACAAAATATGCGTATACATAAATAATTAAGTACCTAGTATATAAGTTAACGACTTAAATATACAAATAATGAACATGCCATATACAAAATAAGCGTATACATAAATAATTAAGTACCTAGTATATAAGTTGAGGACTTAAATATACAAATAATGAACATGCCATATACAAAATAGGCGTATACATAAATAATTAAGTACCTAGTATATAAGTTAAGGACTTAAATATACAAATAATGAACATGCCATATACAAAATAAGCGTATACATAAATAATTAAGTATCTAGTATATAAGTTAAGGACTTAAATATAGAAATTGAAAAATAATAATAATTGCCATGAAATTTACATAATGCATACAAAATAGGCGTTTACAAAAAAAACGCCAGGCACACGTTTTAGTGCCCCTGTAGGGATTTTCAGGTCTTAGTCTATAAGTATAGAATTGAAAAATAATAATAATGGCCATGAAATATACAAAATGCATACAAAATAGGCGTTTACAAAAAAAAACGCCAGGCACACTTTTTAGTGCCCCTGTAGGGATTTTCAGGTCTTAGTTTATAAGTATAGAATTGAAAAATAATAATAATGGCCATGAAATATACAAAATGCATACAAAATAGGCGTTTACAAAAAAACGCCAGGCACACTTTTTAGTGCCCCTGTAGGGATTTTCAGGTCTTAGTTTATAAGTATAGAATTGAAAAATAATAATAATGGCCATGAAATATACAAAATGCATACAAAATAGCGCCAGGCACACTTTTTAGTGCCCCTGTAGGGATTTTCAGGTCTTAGTTTATAAGTATAGAATTGAAAAATAATAATAATGGCCATGAAATATACAAAATGACTTAAATATACAATTAATGAACATGCCATATACAAAATATATTTATAAATGCACACGCACACATATATATAAATATTAATATATATATATATATATATATATATATATATATATATATATATATATATAAATTTTCAATCAACTCTAACCTTGAATATCATTCTCAGGTGATGATATCGTCTTATTGCTACAAGCCTGAATGCTCCAGCTCGGATAAATTACTACAAGCAGTCGAACAATTCTACTTATAATACAAAAGATACATGAACGAAGATGCTGTAAAGGTAAGATTTTTTTTATCATATACATGCAATATGCAAAATGGCACTTTTGAGTGCACCTGTAGGGATTTTCAGGTCTTAGTTTATAAGTGTAGAATTGAAAAATAATAATAATGGCCATGAAATATACTTGCCTTTGCCAAAAACTAATCAGCACATCTTCCTATCAATAGAAATCGAATGGTAAATGCATCATTCAATCGGTTGATCCGTAAAACGTGGAAAATTGTAAACATACATATATACACACTCACACACACACACACATCCATTTTGTCTGAGGTATGCCCCTTAAAAATGTTCAGAAACCTTCAAAACGTCGAGAAATGTAAAAATTTTCAATCTCGATTTTCGGCCCATTACAATAACTTACCCTACGGGAAGTTAATAACTTATTAATAATAATTACTTAATGACTAATAATAATATATTAAAAACTTAAAAACTAAGAAGTGAAAAGCGCAGGAATATTGACGATGGAATGACAAATTTAGAAGGAATGACAAGTAATGCAAAAATTTAAAAGGATAAAAAGAACAGCAAATTTTTAAAAAAGAACGAATACTTCCCAAACACAATATATATATATATATATATATATATATATATATATATATATATTCACCTTAAAATTTACCTAAAAACATTTGACATTTGACGTATTAGCCCCACAGTCCATTGTTTTATTCAAATTACGCTTCTACACAAATTTTCAAATTAAAAATGTAAAGTTTCTACGCGATTTTGAAATAATATCTCACCTTTCCGACAACCTACTCCGATTAGCACGAATTTTTCAAGACTAAGACTGGCCAAATCGGTTCAGCCGTTTTCGAGTTTTAGCGAATCATTTGATCGAGAGCTCCATTTTTATATATAAGATTAGCATAATAATTGACTGCTTTTGATGAATTAAATCAGTTTTTGTATAATTTTTTTCTGTAATTTTTCTGTATCTTTTCGTTTTTGCAAATTCAAAGCAAAATTTAATTTTTATTTTTTATTTAATAAATTTAATTAATTTAATTGCAACTAAAGAATGTAGTTTAAATAATTAACTTAAAAATTCAAAATAATAAAACAACTGCATTCAATAAAGTAAATAATATCTATTTTGTTATACATAATCTAATCATTAAAATTATTTTTAGGTCAAAACTTACTTGCTCCAGTTTATATAAAAAAGCAGGCCAAACATTGGTGATATCGAGGAGAGCCTGGCGAGAAGGTTTGCTGATCTCTACTCCAAAGAGTTTCACACAAAGGTAGGGAATTCAAATTTTTAGCTATATTTGAACAATGCTATAGGGATTTTCACGTCTTAGTATATACGTATAGAATTGAAATAATATAATAATGGCTATGAAATATATAAAATGCATACAAAATAAGCGTATACAAAAAAAAAAAACGCCAGGCACACTTTTTAGTGCCCCTGTAGGGATTTTCAGGTATTAGTTTGTAAGTATAGAATTGAAAAATAATAATAATGGCCATGCAATATACGAGTTGGCACTCTCGAGTGTTATCTTTTTTGTTCTCAAAACCTTTCCTTTTCCTACAAACCCCTACCTATTCAATAGTTTATATTTTTGTAATTCATTCCAATTTTAAAGATAAAGATTTAGTATTTATAGTAAATATAAAATAGTATTTATAAAGTTCTATATATTTTCTTAGTTATATATATATATATATATATATATATATATATATTTTTTTTTTGTTATTTTAATTCAGAACCTAAATTTGATATCGATCAAACGGACATTATTTTGTTTCATTAAATTTTCATTCAATTTCAAGATTTAATTTTGCTCTTCAAGCAGAATTGTCAGGTCTTTAGTTTCCTTGTAATCCCAACAAATTCCTCAACCTAGGTTTGTGCGAATGGGACATCCAGACCCTGGCGTGGAGTTGTGCTTCCGTAATCTTGATGTCTCGTTTTTATCTTGAGTTTATATAGTATTTCATGATTTAATTATGCAGGGTTGTCAGCGCTTTAGTTCTTCCTTGTAATCCCAACAAATTCCACAACCTAGGTCTGTGGGAATTTAGCGTTTCATGATCGAGTCCTTGATTATATCGGGATCCTGAAGCGAACTAGAACGTTTCTTTTGACAAGTTTAGTTCCGCCAGTATGGACGTTAGTTCGGCAGCCTACGTTCGTGCGAATAGGCGCTCTTACATCGAGACAAAAGTAATGGCAATCCGGTAATTAAATCGGTACCCTGGGGCGGACTAAAAACATTATTGTTAAGTTTACAGTTCCATCAGTGGACCTAAATTCGCCTTCCTACGTTTGTGCGAAGAGGGCTTTTACATCGAGACAAAAGTACTGGCAATTCTTTTTTAATCATTGTAATTTTTATTTTTTAGTCTTTTATTGTCATAAGACGTTCATTTATTTTCCATTCACTGTTATTCATGTCAAGTTTTTTTTTTTTATAAAACTTCCAATATCAATTTTTTTTTTTTTTTTTTTTTTTAAATTTTTTTTCAATAGCAATCAGAATACATGACTATTCCAATCTCAATATATCCTCACTTTTCAATTTCAAGTTTTTTTTTTTATCAAACTTCCAATCCCAACACATCCTCACTTTTCAATTTCAAGTTTTTTTTTATAAAACTTTCAATC